TGTCCAGATAATTTCTTTCTATTTTTGGTAGAGACAGGGGTCTCGCTCTTGCTCAGGCTGGTCTCGAACTCCTGACCTTGAGCGATCCACCTGCCTCGGCCTCCCAGATTGCTAGGATTACAGGCATGAGCCACCGCACCCAGCCTGCACTTTACTTTTTAAGAACAGTTTTAGATTTACAGAAACATTGAGCAGAAAGTGCAGAAAGTTCCCATATACCACCCCCAAGCCTGCAGTGTCCCCCATTAGTAACATCTTGCATTAGTGATTGTGCTACGTTTGTTACAATTCACGAATCCCAGCGGATACATTTTCATTTACTTATTTATTTTTTGAGACAGAGTCCCACGCTGTCGCCCAGGCTGGAGTGCAGTGGCATCATCACAGCTCACTGCAGTCTCCAACTCCTGTCCTCAAGCGATCCTCCTGCCTCAGCCTCCCGAGTAGCTGGGACTACAGGTACATGCCACTGTCCCTGGCCTCATTTTAACCATTCTTAAGTGCACAGCTCAGTGGCATTAAGCACGTTCACGTTGTTATACAACCGTCACCACCCTCCATCTCCGGAACTTTCTCGTCTTCCCAAACTGACGCTCTGTCCCCATGAAACACTCACTCCCGAGCCCCTCCCCAGCCCCTGGCACCCACCACTCTACTTTCTGTGTCTGTGGATCTGATGACTCCTCCATACGTGTGTGTGTGTGTGTGTGTGTATTTTATATATATATAAAATGGAGGTGGAGCCACAAAGGCAAAAGTGCCTCAGGGTTGGGAATGTCCTAACGCACTCCTAGTAGCCAGCACCCAGGTGGAGAAAGACACCATGGCCAGCCGCTACGGGGAACCCACTCTCCTGATCTGTAACAGCAACAATGGAGCTCTTTATGTGTGATGCACACTGTTTGCCAAGAAATACTCAGTCAACAAACACTCACTGAGCACCAACCGTGTGCCAGACCCTGTGCTGAGTCCTTGTCCTTTTGCTCAAGGAGGAAGGAGGAGGCAGACAGTAAATGAGTCAACAACCAAAACTGTCAAATTCTGCACTTGCCAAGATTTTTCTTATGCCTGAAGGAGAAAGTTTAAAACTGCTCTGGCAATGACCCAGCCCCTTGACTAAGGCACAGCAAAGACACAAAAACCTCACTCCGCTGCAAAGTGCCCTGGCCTGGGTGTCACACCACAGTGGAGGTTTGTTAGCTCCCACTGTGGAGTTCAGGTAGGGCTTGCTCCAGCCCCTTTCCTGTACAGGCAGGTCTCCAAAGTCTCTAGTCCTGTTTTTTAGTTTGACATTTGCAGAAAGTTTTAGATGTATAGAAAAGTTGTGAAGACAGTACCAGAGAGTTCCCACGTAACCCACACCCGGTTTCCGCATCCTTAACATTTTACATGAGTGTGGTACATTTGTCGCAATTAATGAACCAGTATTGATACGTTCTGATTAATTAAAGACCACACTTTGTTTGGATTCCTTTAGTTTTCCTCTAAGGTTCTTTCTTTCTTTTTTAGAGACTGCTGGGATCACAGGCGTGAGCGATAGAGCCCAGCTCCACCCTCAGGTTCTCTTTCTGCCCCACGGCCCCATCCGGGACGCCACGTGACATTTAGTCATCACGTCTCCTCAGGCCCCTCTGGGCTGTGGCAATTTCTCACTCAGACTTTCTTGTTTTTGTTTTTTTGTTTCGTTTATCAAGACAGAGTCTTGCTCTGTCGCTCGGGCTATAGTGCTGTGGCGTCAGCCTAGCTCACTGCGCCTCCAACTCCTGGGCTCAAGCGATCCTCCTGCCTCAGCCTCCCGAGTAGCTGGGACTGCAGGTGCCACCACGATGCCCAGCTAATTTTTCTATTTTTAGTAGAGATGGGGTCTTGCTCTTGCTCAGGCTAGTCTCGAACTCCTGGCCTCAAGCAGGTCGGCCAGCGGCAAAACGAGGAAAAGTTGGGCCTGTTTGTGTGCCGTGGGGGCTCACAGCCCAGGGCCAGGGCACACAGGTCTCCACTTTAGACACATAACCCAGAATTTCCCAGGTGTTCTGGGTCCCGAGGTTGCGGCGGGTCAGGGTGTTATGTGAGGCTCTGGCCACACGGTGGCGACAGAGGACAGGACGGCGGGCCCCACCTGGGCGCTGCGGGGAGGATCGGGGAGGAGGAGGAGGAGGATGGGGAAGGGGAGAAGTCGGGGGTGCCTTGGGCTTCACCTTGACCCTTGCTGCGGGGCACACTCACTCTGGCTTTGGCAGGAATCAAGGCACTGGATCCGCACCCATAAATACAGAATCGATTCAGATCTGTGTTCCCCAAACGGCCTCCCTACCTCGCGAGTAGCTGGGACTACAGACTCGCACCGCCACGCTGGGCTAATTTTAAAACCTTTTTTTTTTTTTTGTAGAGACGCGGTCTACTATATTGCCCAGAATGGTCTCGAACTCCAGGCGTCAAACGATCCTCCCGCCTGGGCCTCCCAAAGTGCTGGGACTCCAGGTGCGAGCCACCACGCCCAGCACCTTTTCTCTTATAAGGACACGCACCACTGGATTGGGGGCTCTCTCTAATTTGGAGTGATTTCATCTCAAGATCCTTAATTATAACTCCAGAGAACCTCTTTCCGAATAAGAAAACATATTCACAGGTTCCGGGGGACATATTTTGTACGCTCCTGAGTCTCACAGGGCGGGAGTTCAGACCCAGGAATACCCATGTCCTGTGGGTGGGGGACACCAGCTCAGGGACCGGGGCAGCGAGGGTCTGGGTTTTGTGTTCCTTAGAACTCCTGTGGTGGCTGAGCCCCTGCGCCTTCTCCTGGAAGCTCCAGGCCTCCCTCCACGTGGTGGTGGCTTTCCTAGCAGGTTCCATGTTTCAGGGCCCTAGTCACAGCCCCAGTCCTCAAGCCAGCAGCCCGTGGGCCCCCAGCCCCCGCCTTGTCCCCAGAGTGGCCCGTCATGCTGCCCTATGCTTCATGCACCCTGGGGCTTCTTTCCCTCCTGGGAACCTTGCTGGCACCTGCCGACTGCTGGCGGTCCAGCCCATGGACCAGACTCTGTCCTTGTCTCCTGGCTCCACCCCAGCCCTGCATCTGGGGGACATCTCATCACTCAGACACCCTCCACAGGCCAGGAGGCACTGGGGCCCATTCTGGGAGGGGGATGTGCAGACCTCAGCGTCCCCATGCACTCAGTGAGTGGGGAACCATTCGGACACACCACAGAGCTGGGACGATGTCCCCCAGGAAGGGACACCTCGCTCTGCTCCCTCCGTGGAAGCCCCTGGTCAGATGCTAGTTGCAATAAGGACAGCCTTGGGGAAGGGGGGCCCCTGGACCCCCTCCCCAAACATACCGACCCCTTTGATCGGAACAAGGGACAATGCCTGGCCAGGTGAGGGCCTAGACCCCGGAATTGGGGTGTGAGGAGCGGACTCGAGTGTCCTCCCCGCAGAGCCACCCTTCCGGCACCCGCCCCCCACACCACACCGAAGCCGTGCGCTCACATGTAGTAAAAAGACTTTATTAAGAAGGCTTTGAAGTCAAAAAATAAAACTCTTGATACAATTTTTTTTTAACCCTTAAATCAGCTCAGCAAATATATAATCAGTAATTTAGCTGTGTAAGATTAAAGGTCCATTACTTTATTTA